AAGTAATTATCACACTAAAAGCACATGAATATACTAAACATAAATGAAACATAGTAGCAACTTACAATATATTACACAAGTCTTAAAGCAAATAACTAGCACATAGTTTTTAACACATAATCTTAAACAAACCAAGTTAACACATAGTTTTTACCACAAACATGAAACTAAGCCAAACACTATATGATGCATGCATAGTACTCTAACATGAAGGTCCTGGAGGAGGTGGATGTCCTTGGAAAAAATGCACTGAGCTTCATATCCAAGTTACCAAATTTCTTGATTAAATCCTCCTGATTACTGATGATGTAAGTGTTCTGAGCATAAAGAGCTCGCTGACTAGTCTCTAACTCAAGGATGTTTGCAGATAATGTGTTATATTGCACATCAGAGAAGCAGGAAGGTTCTAATTGTATTTGAGGTGGTTGTTGGCTAGAGGAAGGGCCTGCATGACTTGAGGATTGTGGAATATCTTGTGGATTTTGTTCTTGAGGAGGGTGAGACTCATTTTGGGGATTTTGATCATGAAGTTCAAAGTTAGTTAACTTCATCCTTGTTAGGGCATTAGAGTCAAAGAACTCAATGGAACAAACTACAGAATTTTTAGACTCACTTGCATTGCCTCTTCATAGCACTCCGGCTCACTGCTATCTGTCAACAATAGGTAGTCAATAGATGAAAGATATCTGGGATTTGGTTTAGGTACCCTGGATGACCTCCTAAGCTCCACACCCTGGGTAGTTTCTTCTGCACCTGGAGCCTTCTCCATTCTCTGATCAGAACAAACATCATCACCCCTATCTGAAAGTTCCTCTAAATCCATGTACTCGGATCCACCTGTATCCGTAGTGGTACACCCCCTGCTTTGGCTATCCTTGGCATTTTTCCTGTTCTTGTACATCACCTCCTTATTGAATATCACGTCTCTGCTTTTGATGATCTTCTTGTTCTTCTCATCCCAAAGGCGATACCCGAACTCATCAATATTGTATCTAATGAATGTGCACTTCTGTGACTTAGCTTCTAGCTTATCCCTGACATGGTCACTGATATGAACATAAGCACGCCAACTGTTAGGCTGTCTAAAAATCCACAATAGATAGCTTTTCAAAACAAGGCTCCGACAACGGAGTCACAATGCAGACGACTTCCCAATCACACCGTGCATCCGCCAACTACACAATGGCACAAAACAGCGACCTCACCTCTGAGATGATTGACTCTTGATGCGCTTGACAAAGCATGGCCTAATATCGTCAGCAACTATTAGAACTGCTGATGAGCAGTGGGACGATTTAGTAAAGTAAAAAGTTGGACTCAGTTGGTGAGTTGCTTATAGAGAGCTCATGGGCGAATATTCATCTTTAAGAGCACTATAGATGTTGATTCCGTGTAGCTCTTACACGGAAAGCTACAATCCAAATAGGCTTTCGGCGTCGATGATCGAAACATAATAGTCGCAATATGTTGCTTCGGTAGCAGAGCTATGGCCGAATAATTCATCTTTAAGACAGCTATGGATGTTGATCTCCGTTCTTAGCTCCTACAACGAAAAGCTACAATCAATAAAGCTTTCGGGTCGGTGATCGAAAGCGCATAATAGAGGACATTTTTTTTTTTTTTTCACATAGATCGAGAAAGGTTACAATTCAAGCCGACACTTCGACAACTGATGAAAACTCTATGGCAGCAGTCTTCACAATCTAAGTGAAAGTTACAAATCTGACGGCTTTCACACCCCACACAGCTAAAGCCAGCGATATGAAGCAAACGGTCTTGCAACGCTCTACAGAAGAAGTTACAAATGCAAGCTAACTCCTTCTGAAACGCGCGGTGTCATCCATCCCGCGTCAATAACTTCATTTGTTGATAATGTGCT